GACAGTAAATACAACCTATCCACAGGAAAACTCGAAACGACTGACTGACAGTAAATACAACCTATCCACAGGAAAACTCGAAACGACTGACTGACAGTAAATACAACCTATCCACAGGAAAACTCGAAACGATTGAGTTGTAGTAAATACAACCCATCCACGCGAAAACTCGAAACGACTGACTGACAGTAAATACAACCTACCCACAGGAAAATTCGAAACGACTGACTGACAGTAAATACAACCCATCCACAGGAATATTCTAACTGGCTTTGCTCTAAAAACAAACAAACAAATATAATCTTATGTTAGCTATATGAACTCTTAATGACATTTGTCTTACCTGTGGGCAGTCTTTGATATAGTGACCTTTCTTGAAGCATAAATGGCACAAGTAGTTAGGCGGAGGTTTCTTGGTAACTTTTCTATCGAATTCAAGAGTCAGATCAGAGAAATGGTCGGTGAGGTCCACTAACGAGGCTGGGCTAAGACTTCTGTTATTAGTGTAACCAATGTAGTTGTTCTTGGACTGCAGATACTTCGTTGTGAGGGAGGGCAAGTGGAGTTTACTCTGAAATACGAAGATGTTAAAAGTTTACGACAGGTAAGTATATTCGCAATAAGTGTTTGAAGTAACTAGTTCGTATGATTTGCTTACACGAATGACTACATCATTACGTCAAGAAAAATTCTAAAACTCAGATGAATTTGCATCTATATACAAATATAAATTAAATAAAGGGTACAATCATACAATCACTAAATAATGCCAGAAAGAAATAGGTGTCCAATTTCAGAAAATATATTTGACTCACTGTGTTTTAAAGCATTTATGGTAAGTTGATATATGTTTAAAGAATTACTTCTATGTTATTACCGTGATAATTCTATTCACAATCCTACATTTTATGATAACAAGAAACTTTTATTCATATCAAAACAAAAAGAAAAAAAAACACATTTGGTTTCAACTGTACTGGTGATCGTTATTCACATTAATCATTATAAAATGCGTTAGAAGCAAGATTTTATAGCTACAGGATAATAAAGTAACCATTGAATACACCAGAAGCAAGTTTTTACAGCTACAAGATAAAAGAGTAACCATTGAACATGCCAGAAGCAAGTTTTTACAGCACCAGGATAATAGGATAAATTTAGTTTAATAAAAAAAAAAAACTACCCATTGGGTTGTTTTCGCTCTGTCTACCGCATAGTGGAACTCCTGATTTTAGTGTTGTATATACGCTTATCGCTGACCCAGCAGGAGATTAATCATTTGGATGTGGACTTCGTGTAGCAATGACATGTGGAATTTATGAACTACTAATGACCATTTGGTCGAGGGAGTCACATCCTTAAAACAGTTTCTTTTCTTCTAAGAACTGGTATAAAAACATAACTGACTTGAAGTCTGGAATACGTTTTTCTTGGATAAGAAATTAATTTCTTCTTGGCATATTAAGACTGTTGTCCTAGCATATAAGGTAGTGTTATTACAACAAGTTTCCTAAAAACAACGAGCTGTATTTGTGTACAAACCAGCTTGCAAACTGGGAAATCTGTCTTGTTACTTCCATGAACATGTGCTCGCTGCTCAAAGGAATATGTGAGATCCACCAATAGATGGTTGTCTACTTTTATAGCAGAATACCTATAAATGAATCGAATATCCCTCAGACATCCTGATAGAATACAATGACTGTAACAAAGCAGATAATTTCATCATAGTTAATAAAGCTGAAAATAAGCAATAATTAGTCATTTGTGATAATCTGGTTACTACTAATCTAATGGAGCAATGAACAAGTAGAATTCGGCTTATTCACTCCTAAGATTGTAAGCTCCTCGTTCCTTCTTGAACATCACTGTTTGCTTACGTAGTATTCTGCTATCATAATCTTTATTTATTAGAGCATCTACCCGTGGGACTTATCCATGTAGTCTCCGGTGTCTAATCTCGACCTTTCCCAGGCGAGCTGTACGAATGAAAATGAGGCTTAAGAATTTATACATCTGAACCACTCTTCTCTTGTCTGATGATTCTAAAGTGTTGATGCCCAACACTGTATTCCCATAAAAACATGCAACATAAAGATTTCGCCAAAGACGTCATAGATCTTGATTTGGGGGGACGTTCTTAGAGCAACAGTTTTTTTTTTTTTACTTTGTTTTGCCGGGGATGGGATTTATTCCTATTAAACTAACACTAACCATTGTAATCAATTCATTTTGTAGACGTTTCGTCTAATAAAGCAAAATAAAGGATGTAAATAAACACGCTTAAATTTTTTTTAAATTTACAATTTGCTTATCATAGTTTAGATAAAAATTAGATTATTTATGTATCTGGTTTTCTTTCTTTTTTTATTACATGCGGGCGTAAGTTTGATATAATCTAGCTGCGAATGAGTGTTTGATTTTTCGCTGAAACAAGAAAGATGAAGTGAAACATTTAATGCTTACTTTTATTTCTCTAGTCATTTAAACATCTCTAAGATAATTTTTTGGCTCGTATTATCGCCATGTTGTTTAACCATGCCATGGAACTCAACCGGTCTTGTCAAGTTCTTTCCAGTTGATATGAAAGAACTCTAGCAGTAACGGGTCATCAGAAATGACGAATTATGTTACGAATTTTACTTCTGTGGCATATGGTGGCGTCTCCAGCGTCGATGTTCACTCTTCATTAATTTGCTCGCAAATTCAACAAATATTTATTGCAACTTTATCAAGAAATGCTTGTTTATTGAAATAGTTGCCAGACGCATGAGATCTTCACTGCTGAATACAAGATTTTGGGGGATTTTTGTTTTGTTTGGTTGAGTCTATTTCATGGCTATTCTCTTTTGATGCTCCCGAAGAACAATAGTGAGCTATTCGAAAGCGGCAAAAGTGGACACAATAATAAATATACTATTAAGTAGATACATAGATGTGGTGAAAAATATATATATATATACTTTTTTCCAGTTGTTTCTAGATCTATCGAGTAGGAAGAACACTAAATATAGTACCAGTAAAAATAAAAAGTTGCCAACAATTTGTGTGTGTATGTTCTGTTTTAGCCCAAAACTGCACAATAACCTAGCTGTGCTCGGTCCACCACGGGGAATCTAGCCCCGGATTTGAGCGTTGTGAGTTTATAATCTTACTGCTGATCCACTGGAAGACTTTTGTATATGAAGTTGCGTCATTCCGGGCGTATAATATAACTAGCTGCTTTCTAAAAGTTGTGTTTTTAAGGTCTCACTTTAAACTAATTATTTAAAAAAAGCTTTTATAAATTCAATTCTGTTCTGTGAAATTTTGGTTTGGTTGTTATTAACCATAAATTACATGATAGATTATATTTGCTCTGCCTACCATAGGTATTGAAACCCGAATTTTAGCGTCGTAAGTCTACAGATTTACTGCTGAGCTACTGGTAGGCATTTTGCGGAATTAAATATTCCACCCCCTCCAGTGGTATGTCTGCGGACTTATACTGCTAGAAACCGGATTTCGATACCCGTGGTGGGCATAGCACAGATAGCCCTTTGTGTAGCTTTGTGCTTAATAACAAAAAACAATTAAAAACCTTTTTTTAAAATTCTAAAGACAGAAACGTTACGTTTGAATGTGAGTGTTTAGAGGATTCAAAGTAAAATATGATTTATCCAGATTTGAAAACAACCGCAAGTTCCATAAAACCATTTCACACACGTCAGCTTTTTCTAGCAGAACGGTTTTTATATTAAAACTTGCTCAGAACTGGTTCAGTGATGATCGAGCACCAAGTTCAAGGCTCCGTCAGTACTTTGTATATAACTTTGTCCATCCATAATGAAGCATTACCGAAATAACAAGCAAACCTTAGTGCCCTGATTAATTTGTTTAGTAGGCTGATAGGAACTGACTCATTTATACGACCGGCTGCACCGCACTCCGGCGAAGAAATAAAAATTACTGAATGATAAAATAAGAAGATTACACTGAAGTTTAATTATATTGAATGTAACAGAACGTAGATACAAGATGTGGTGAAAATAAACACTTTTTCCAATTGCTATATTATAACGTCCAACCAGTAATCGTTTTTTTCTGTTTTTTCTGTAAACGTAAACTGTGCAAAATAAACCGAAGCCTCTAAACTTTAGACAACTTTTTCTTCTTTTTAAATATTGGGCGAAGCTGCGACTAAAAAAAGCGTTTTTCACATATGCAAAAGTTTCTTAAATCTAAGCGCAGATTTCTGGTAAAATTATGTGTATAGTTAAACTATTATTTCTACAATATAAAGATAGCATACATATAATATATGACAATATAACTGTTTGTTTGTTTTGTTTGAATTTAAGCACAAAGCTACACAATGGGATATCTGTGCTGTGCCCACCACGGGAATCGAAACCCGGATTCTGACAATATAAATCCACCTAAATACTCAATATCTCAAAGCAATGTATCACCACTTAAAAGAAATATGCCAAGTATCGTTTACTTTCAAGAATTACAAAGTCGTACGCTAAAAAGAGGACTTGTTCGAAATTTTAAAAATAATATCAGATTCGTACGTTTTAATATTCTTTTGGGTATCTATATATAAATAAATGCTCTTGTAAAACTTGTCCCTCAGGCCAATCAGCGTGCGTCTGTTGTTAAAGCGTACATGCATGATGTCAGCTATACGCACAAATTCAGAAACCAAAACGTAAACTAATATTATCCAAAGTTCTAATAAATCGCAAACCATTCATAATGAACCAAATATATATATATATCACTTGACTACAGGCTTAGTAATTGCCAAAACCAATAAAAGATATTCCATGTTTGGTTTCTCTTTCTATGATAAGTATGTTGTATTGTCAGCAAAGGGTTTAATATTCAAAGCCAAAATCACATATTGTTCCTCTGTGCAGGTGGAATTAGAGTACATTTGGTTTACGATTTTAAGTTGAAAAATAAATTTCAATTTATAACTTTTTTCTCAATTTTATGAACATCTAGTGATTTTATGTTGAAACAGTGCAATTCATTTATCTTAAAATGCGTCACATATGTTAGAAATGAGCTTTGTTTCTGCGTCCTGAAATTTAGAATGGCTTTATTCATTTTAAACCGTTTCGTTTCCTCTTTTTCTAAATTCTGCCTTTTTCTGCATTTGTGTGAATAATTTTACAATTGAATCGTGCGAAACTTATTTCACTGCTTCAGACTCTGTATTTCCACATATTAACTACGCCAGTAGACACAGTCCTTTATTTGGCTTTTGGACTAATTTATACATCAAGATAATCCATATAACAAATTTTCAAATGGGTATTTTTTATTTTTTTTTGCACTGTGACTATATTTTCCATTTTATAAACAGAACGCCTATCATTCATTTTTCTGTTTATCTGTATCGCATATTAGTTAATTTTTTGAAGACTTTAAACTGATATCTATTGTTTATTTTTCTCAGATATGGAAAGAGAGAGAAAGAAATAGAACGGCATGTCCCTTGTGAGAGAAAGACAACTCAAAAAAGAGAAAGAATGTAGCTCATCTGTATTTCATGAATAATATCAAATTGAAGACGTAGAAGAAAAATAAATAGCTTATGTCATTTGTTCCATAATTACAGGCAACCTGGATGGAACATCAGGACACCAAAGCCAAGTTTGTGGTTCATGGAACATCCAGCAGGAGGAGATAAACCGCCAACATCAGTCTTCGACGGATTACCAAAACCGTCTAAGACATTTCTAGAGATTTAACGGAACTACTTATTAAAAGCAGTCAGCTGAAACCATGCGGGAAGTGAAGACCAGAAAAGGTTATACTTGTTCTACTGTTAAACTGTTTCCCATTTGCTATCCACGAGACAGACTACATCTAATGTTGATACACGCACCAAAACATTCAATTATAACTGAATGACTTTCAAACAACCCATTAGATACGAAATAAGGTTTATTGAAATGATTCAATGCATCACTACCAGTAAATGAACAATGTAAACCTGTAGGCAACATCCATAATCCAAAACAAATAATCATTGTACTACTAAAAGGAACTTTTGACAGAAGTTCTCATACTATACTACTTCTAAGTTAAATTATTTTTACTTGCATTTTTTCAGTCAAAACATTTTAAAGGTTAGTCAATGCTTGACATTTAAAGTCATCCTTCCCTGGTGGCTTAGAGGTAAGTCTGAGGATTTATAACACTAAAGATCGGGTTACAATACCCGCGGTGGGCAAAGCACAGATAGCCCATTCTGTAGCTTTGTGATTAAGAATAAACAAACAAAATAAACTGTCACGTTAAATTATAGTCCACATCCAAGACAACATAAGTACAGTAAAATTTGTAAGATTAAACAAAATAACGTTTAAAATTTTAATCTTTGTTCTTTATCTTACGTTAATAAGTGCACAATATGCTTCCCTTGCAAGCATTCAGTTGGATTTTTTGCAAAATCTAGTGGTGGAAAAATAAACAAATGAAATAGATTTAAATGTCCTTTTTATTTTCTCTATTATATCATGATAATGAAAAAAGATTAGACAAATGAGCTACTAGTACACATGTCTCAAGAACTTCAACTTTCCATTGCACGTGGATCTCCAGTGATTCAGCATCAGTTAGTCACCTAATATGTATGTGGCTGATATTGTCAGTGTTACTAATTAAAGAAGAGAGGCATTAGAATCTAGTACACAATTTTGTGATATCTGTTTGTTTCTGGTTTTGTTTTGTTTTTAAACACAAATCTACATAATAGACTACCTGCGCTCTGTCCACTAAATATTTTAACGTTTCAAATTCGTAAAGTTCCTGCTGACCTACTGGGGAACTTTGCGGTACTTATAGAATTCCACCTTCAACAGGACACATCCCTGATCCTTCCAGCATCTCACAATAACATCAGCTCGATGCAACCGACCATATCTGTCACTATGTTTGCAAATATTTTCAACGAAATCTAATACATGCCAGCCATTTTGGGCCTTTAATAATGTTCATCCTTTTACAAGAGAACTCAATGGTTTTTTTAGAAAAACAACTATTTCATACATGACGTATAATAATAAGTTACCAGACCACTAAATTAATATAAAGTTATATATAGTTATATATTTACTATAATATATTCAGTTCCAAGGCCTTTCGACGCATGCGTCCAAAGTCCTTGATGCAGTTCGTTTCTTAGACGGCGGAACCGGTAGATAATTTTTCAGATCGAGGACTGACGCTCTTAAAAAAATCTAAATGTCTGAAATTAAAAACTAAATGTTTAATTGATTAGCTCTTCAAGTAAATATTATTATGCCAAGATTGATTTATATTATCTTATCACGCTCACCAAAGGAACTATTGGATGTTATAATGATGTCTCTTCAAGTAATTGCCAAATATTTCGCAAGTGCCAATATTATAACAAAGGAAAATATTATTTTGAAAGGTATTAATTTTAGAATTATAGCTTTCATTTACGGTATATTAATTTTTATTTGTTTCATCTATAATGTTTTGATTAATTTTGAGACAATTTGTTTCAAATAACTTCAACTGAAGTTATTCACGAAGTTAGAAAAACCCATAGGTTCAAGAAGTCTTGATAGAAATGAATAAAAACCCTATAGCCCGAACGCTTTTGAAAGGTGGACCTTTCTTCTTCAGGGGCAAACTGAAGTTATATAATTATGTCTTTAAAATATCATTTAGTTGTCTTTAACTACTAGTGCTTATGTCACACTCTGTTTTGTAATATTCTAACTTAAACTTTCGATTTCCATTTTTTCAATAGAATTAAATCCAAATCACTAAAATATACCTCATGTAATTAAATTGTAGTTAAGTAAGTTTGTTTATTTTTTGTTTTTTAATTTTCGCGCAAAGATACACGAGAGCTATGTGCGCTAGCGTCCCTAATTTTGCAGTGTAAGACTAGAGGGAAGGCAGCTAGTCATCACCACCCACCGCTAACTCTTTTACCAACGAATAGTGGGATTGGCCGTCATATTATAACGCTCCTACGGCTGAAAGGGCAAGCCTATTTGGTGGGACAGGGATTCGAACCCGCGACCATCAGATTGCGAGTCAAGCGTCTTATCCACCTGACCATGCCAGTAAGTTATTGAAATTAAACCTAATTTTGATTTGTATTAAGCAAAGCTAGGTCTAAATAACTTTCTTTAGTTTTTGTTACACTTCTCCGTTATCGACCTCACCCTTTACAATATATATATATATATATATAATAGTGAATAAATGTACAGTTTTGTTTATGTGTGTGTGTGTGCTCAGATATTAGCTTTACACTTTCAGTAATAACCTGAAAAATAATCCAGAATACTGTGAAATATCTCTGTTGAGTTGGAATTTGCAGAAGCTATATTTGATTTGTATCCGCCTTCAAGAATAACGAAAGGGAAATTGAACAAATATCTAGGCCTAGTTTATTCAATATTATTATATTTGTAAACCACCTAAGCCAAGGTATATCCCAATTAGTTTTAAATTAAAAGAAAATCGCTAGAGTCAATTTAATTACTCGTCATATGAATTTGTAAAAAGTGAAATTATTTGTGATAGTGTACTAAATTTACTATTTCTCTTGAGCCCGGCAGGGCCAGGTGGTTTAAGGCACTCGACTCGCAATCTGAGGGTCGCGGGTTCGAATCCCCGTCACACCAAACATGCTCGCCCTTTCAGCCGTGGGGGCGTTATAATGTGACGGTCAATCACACTATTCGTTGGTAAAAGAGTAGCCCAAGAGTTGGCGGTGGGTGGTGATGACTAGCTGCCTTCTCTCTAGTCTTACACTACTAAATTAGGGACGGCTAGCGCAGATAGCCCTCGTGTAGCTTTGCGCGAAATTCAAAACAAACAAACAAACTATTTCTCTTAATTATTCAGTCATGGCAAAGATTATTAGCGCTTAGACAAAAGTAATACATGATTGATGAAAAGTGTGTATTTTTATCTATTGGTTGTAAGAATTAGCGAATTATTTTGGTCTTACTACCTTACTTTCAAAACGTTGGTTCTCTTATAGTGTTGTTTAATAATATTAATAGTTTATTGTTGAAACAATTCCTATTTGCAACAAATCTTATTCAATAAAACATAATAATTCTGTGATACTTTAGGTAGTCGAAAAAAAGTGTTTTTTATTTTATTTCTGGGATTATTCATTTGTCTTGGACATCTATGGAAAAGCTTGTCTCAAAGCAAACATCAATGCTTTGTACAACGTCTGAAAAGAAATATACTTGTTCTATAGAAGAAATTAATATTGTTGGAAAATAAAAATATTAAAAAGTTATATAACGGATATCACCTTCTTTATGTAGAAATAACATTTCAGCCATGTAAACTTCACAAATTTTACAAGGCTAAAGTATTAGGTGGACTTGTAGATTAATACTAAACGTAAATCACTTCTTCTTTCACCAATTTATAAATGAATATACAGTCGCTGGTTCATCTTATAAGCTCCCAGTTGCACAGAAGTATGTCTGCGGACTTACAACGCTAGAAACCGGGTTTGGATACCTGTGGTGGGCAGAGCACAGATAGCCCATAGTGTAGCTTTGTGCTTAACTTCAAATAACATCGTTTTATAAGGTGATGCTGTGTTATATTTTTTGAAAAAGTGAAAGTTTTAAATAAAACCGATTTTTAATTCAAATGGATAAAATTCTCTCTTTACAGAATTTGATCATAAGGCCAATAAATAATTCATTTGTACTTATTATATATATAAATATATAGATACTGTATCCTATTATGGTTTTCTTGATAAAGACCAAACTAACTTGATTTTATGTTATAGTCACAGTAGTAATAAACTTCAGCAACCCACCTGGTCGTTAGAGCTGGATTGATCCGCAAGGGTCAGGTATACCCAGTTTAGCAGCTGTGCTGGCTGATACACTGAGGCACCGGTATCAATAGAAGCAAGAGAAGCCATTTTGTTCGGACACTACTACACACACTTCAGAATATTCGGACTAACACAAGACCACAAAAACACAGACATCGACAGAGCGCCGTTAGGACACTGAAACGAGCTACTGCCACTACATGTGTTGCTGGTATTCTTCTCTGTCTGCTTATCCAATCGCTATTTCGATATCTTCAGGCAACAACCAATGACAAACTTTGTGAATGCTTTGCATTGCAGTGCCAAATTTAACATCTGCACAGGCGACAGACGAAACCCCTACATTCACTTTTCTCTGGGAGTTAAGTTTCACAAATCCCATGTAATGACGTCCCAACTGGAAATCTTGAAGGCTGGTGTGATAGGGGACACGCCATATTTTTGTTTCACTAAGTTCCTAATAGCCACATTTTATATCACTCAGATGATGAGAATTGCTGAGTTAAGCATGCTTTGGGTACTCCGAAAAGTCACGGCATTTGTTGTTTAATGTAAGAAACTAAGAGGGCTGTATTGGAGACAGTAAATATTGAAAAACAACATACAGTCCTATATCTCACATTTTTTATGATTAATTTTATGTTTTAAAACTATTTTGCATGAACAAGTTAGTCTATCAGAATTTTTAGAAATTTAGTTTAAAAGCCGTTTTTTGTCTAATATTTTGAGCATGAGTATAATTTTTGAAGTTCTGTAAAAAAAAAAGAGAGCAAAATATGAGTAAGTTGCGAAGTTAAGTTTATCAATCGACAAGCAGTCTTTTCCAGTTTTTTTCAGATGACGTTAATCTCATTTATTTCCACGTTGTTTGAATCTGTTTTAATATTTGTTTCTATTATACCTTTTTTTTGTACACTACGCAGTGAAATTCATGTTTGTTATGATAGAAACTCAAAATATCAGTATCCACCTAACTTCTTTCATAACTTATCCGGGTTCGAATCCCCGTCCCACCAAACATGCTCGCCCTTTCAGCCGTGGAGGCGTTATAATGTGACGGTCAATCACACTATTCGTTGGTAAAAGAGTAGCCCAAAAGATGGCGGTGGGTGGTGATGACTAGCTGCCTTCCCTCTAGTCTTTCACTGCTAAATTAGGGACGGCTAGCGCAGATAGCCCTAGTGTAGCTTTGCGCGAAATTTAACAAACAAACATAACTTATCTCACAACCAATTATAAATCTACTTAGATCAAATATAACTTTTACTTCAAAACATTTATTTACATTTTGAAACATTTAACTTAGGGCTTCAAGTTAACTAGGCTTAAATGCAAATGAATTCGATACCAGAAACACATGGTACAAAGGCCTCAGTAAATAAATCAAATGTCTAAAAAATACTTCGCTCTCATTTTCCATTTGAAACTCACACTAAAGCAAATGACATGTGTAGTATGTTTCTTACGTCTTAATGTGAGGTTATGTGTTATTATGCATTTTATGTCTAATATATATTGTGTTCATTTATATTCGAAGGTGACATATTTTTCACGTACTCGTAAGATAGCTTGAAATATCAAATTATTTAAATTGATTTATTATTCTAATTTGAAATAGTAAAATATCCGCGACCTAGAGAATTCCTTGACCTAGTCAAATCTGTAATTATCATTTTCATTTGTAATAGCAAAGCAAACAAAATTCTAAATAAAACATTCTCGAAAACACCCAAGTTGTCTTTTTATCATGACGCCGGTCGGCTCTGTGGTAGACCTCTGGATGTCAGAACTGACGAGACGGTTTTGAATCCGTGCGATATCACAAAATACTCATCGTATTTCAAGATGTGTTCGCATTTATAAAAATAAAGTTTAATTACTTAGTATGTATGGTGGTTGTTAGGATTATACTTTCTGGTCAGTAGCTAAAAACTAGGGGCGGTAGCAAATGGCCTTAGTAGCTTTGGCATAAATAAAGATTATTATTTATAAGAAATTTGAACTAATTGAAGTTCCTGCTTAAGTATTAGCACTCAGAATAAAATATGTGATTCCAACAAACATAGGGGTGTGAAAATTCACATCCTTAATGGGCTAATTTGAACAGAAAGTCATGTAAGTGATGTGTGAAAATCTAAGAAAAAACTGTTAAAAAATCACTTTAATTAAGATAATTTTACGATTCCTCTAAAATTTTATGAATACAGTTTTCCTAAAAGGCAATAACTCTTCAATATGTATATATATATATATATATATTGTTACGACAGCGGAAGTCACGCGACGCTGGGAGCATGCGCGCTGGAGTTCCTAGAAGGATCGTGACTTATCAGGCAACCTCACGAATGTCCCAGCGTTTGCTAGACGCCCTCTTTTTTAGTATATAAGCCGGATATAGATTGAAGATAGAAATAATCGAGTCAAGCGAGCAGTAGGCACTGTAAGTAAAGTGTGTGAATCGCTGTGAATTATAAAAGTAGTTAAGTTTAAAGTGACTGTGGAAATTAAGTGTATTACAGAGTTTGTAACGAGAAAGAATAAACTAGTTTTAATTAAAGGACTTGTATCGCTGAAGTTTCTCGGAAAGAATTTTTACGGGAAATTATCATACAAGCAGATACGTAATAATACATTTACAACTGAGCTTCCTTGTATGAAGTATTATGGCATATTAAATTATTACTGTTTGGTGAGCCATAATTTTGTTGTGGGTTTGAATTCACTTTTTTCTGAACAACGGTGTGAATTCACACTTTTATAGGCGTAGCTCCTGCATCAGTACTTCACGCCCCTAAAGGTACGAAAGAACACCATTGTTCAAGAGTGTAAGTTCAAATTACAAATGATTAGAAGAGGGGTGTAGTGCTACAGGAGTACACCGTAGCAGCGTTCTGGCACTTGAAATCGAAGCTGAATCTCGAAATTAAGTGTTTTTCATAACCAAACACTTAACCAGAGGTAGCTTTTTTTTAGCTATTTGTGTTTACAGGATAGGAGATATGCAAGGCATTATAAAAATCAAAGTTGTTAATATAACAGTGCGAATGGAAAGATAGTAAATTAATGAAATATGTGATTTGAAGACTTGTTTTAATGTTAGTAATTTTATATGGTACACAATTGTTATTATTTTTGCCTTGTTGCTTAATTTAAAGAAGTTCAGTTGCATGTTTTCTCTCGCTACTATATGTGTGTATTCAATTTGGCTTTAATGTAAGTAGTCTCAAATAATTAGTGTTAAATATATTTTCTTTATTTAAAATGGACTAAAAAAATTAAACTAGCCGTTGAGATCTTAACCTCCAATCTGGTAGGGCTCCGGCACTAAATATTTAGCACTAGTACACTGCAACTTTTTAAAGATTGAAGTGAGCACTCTTAGGAAATAGCTTATAATCACAAACTTCATGAAGGATTTCACTATCATATTAACATACATCATTGATAACAACAATATCTTTAGTACTGAAAAAAAGAAACAAATACAATAAAGTAAGAAAGATAATACTGTATGTGGGTCTGTTATACTGTTAAAAATGTGAACTTCCGTCAGTATAAATATTATAATTTTCTGGCTCTACCTGAGTGATGTTTGTTTTGTTTTTTGAATTTTGCTCAAAGCTACACGAGGGCTATCTGCGCTAGCCGTCCCTAATTTAGCAGTGTAAGACTCGAGGGAAGGTAGTT